GAAGGCTCTGCCAAAGGGAGGAAGACTGAAGTCTGAGAGGTCCCTGAGGGGCTGACTTTTTCCAGACCCAGACATGCAAATGTATGTGACAGGCTGGGATTCCAATCACAAATGCTCTAAATAAACCCCACGGCCGGCGAGCCGTTGCCCACTCAGAGACCCCGTGGCACAGGGTAGAAGAGCCCCTGTGGGTTTCCGGGGCTGCTAACTCGTTACAGGAGTAGCTTAAAATCCTGGCTTTCTCCCACAGAGCTGCTGGTGGTTTCGAACTGCTGACCCTGAAGTTAGCAGCCAACGCCACCAGGACGCCACCCCACGAGGGGAGGCTCAAGCTGCCCTGGTCGATCACATTTCACTGGGAGGTCCTGCAGGTGGTGATAAAGCATTAGCGTGACCCTTAATCTCAGCCCAACCAACTTCCAGGAGGTTAAAGAGTGCCAGGGTTCTGGGGTTCTGCCTTCTCCACATCTGTCCTTTGCCCCCAATGGCAGATCCCAGGGTTGGGGTGGGAGCCGAAGGGGTGTCCTCAGATCTATGTTGGCTCTAACTCCCGTGGCTCTGAGGTCTCCCTCCAGGGATGCTCCCCAAGGGCCTTTATTTCCAGATCACTGGTCAGCTCCTGATCTTGAGGGCGTGGGGGGACAGAGGACAGGATGATGCCTGAGGACAGAGGAGTGGAACTTTAACCCAGTAAAGGAGACTGGCCTCTTACCACTTTGCCCAGCTGAGCAGGGATGCGGGTGTCTGGCAAGGCTGCCCGCCAGAACATCGTGAGGAGGGAGGCCGACTCTTCCAAGGTGTGGTACAGGGCACGGGCGCCGCTCCGCAGCTCGTGGGCACGCTCACTGCTGAGCACCTGGAACAGGGGGGCATCAATGGCATGCATGGTCACTCTGCCCAGCACAGGGGCTATGCTTCTTTTGTGAGGCCCAGCACATGGGGTTGCAGGAACTGGAATCCTCCCCGAACCTGGAGACCCAGGATCTCCAACTGCAGAATGACTTGAATGGATTCATCTGACTCAGGCCTGCGCACTGTCTGTCTCTGTCTCTCTCTTGCTTGCTCACTCTCAAACTTTTAATCGTGAACTGAATGAAGATTACCAGAGCAGATCCATTGCCCATCCAACAATTCACCCACATTTTGTTACATCTCATTGGTTGTCATCCCTACAATGTCATATGACGTATCCCACTTTCTCTCTCTGTTGCCCGTTTCCATTCCTCCCTTCCTAACCCTCTAGACTATGTCCTTGGGGAAATACTGCCCCTTTGATCTCACATGGTTGTGCAAAGGCGTCCATCCCTCCCTGGTGTAACGGTTCCCTTTGTAGACCCATCTGCAGTTTGGCTGGCCATAGCGGGTGCTTTCCTTTCCTGAGATGAAGGGGGATTAAGGATCATAGCTTCAAGGGTTCCACCAGCCTCTTTCCCACCACTAAGTCTGGGCTCTTTTATGATTTTGAGTTTCATTACATATTTTTCTCCGACTCTATGCAAGACCTTCTGATGTGATCCCTTTCAGATGGTAGCTGGGCAATGGATCTACTCTGGTGATGGTAGCTGGGCACCATCTAGTTCTTCTGGTGTCAAGGTCACTCATGCCCTCTTTTAACCTTCGAGTAGAAGCTCAAGGCTATCAGGTCTAAAATCCTCGTATCCTTTTGCTCTTGAGCCCCAAATCACCTCTATGCTTTGACTGAGTTGAACCCCTTGTGCCTTCAAGGGCTGAGGTGCCCCTCCCCGACCTTTCTCTAGAAGGTCATTCTCCACCTACAGAACTGACTTGGCTTCAAAATGTATCCTCCTTTTGACATCCTCAGTGACAGTGTGGCTTCCTTCCTAGTGCACATAGCAGCGCCCACAACTGTGCCTGCACAGTACAGAGGGCAACTTCTGGCACTGTGCCGATAGCCCCTAGTGGTGTTCATTGACGTGGATGTGCCTCTTCCCCCTGGGGTGGGGGGGTGCTGTGTCCTTGGACATCCGAGCATTGCTTGAGGCTGTGGCAGCACAGCAATTAGCGCCTGGTCTCTCTCTGCAGAGAAGCACCCTGAGAACCTCTGCTGAGCGAGTTCCCACCCCGCTCAGGCTGAGCAGGAACATGCCATGGCTGCCTCTTCCACATAGGCGGATGATATGGATGCAATTCCCTCCGCTTCCATCCACCTGACGCAGTGACTTTATTCTGCCCACAG